ATAATAATAACAAGGGGTAATTATTATTTAAGGATTTAATTGAAAAAACTTTTGGGGTGAAAATTTGGGTTATGGGGTGGGTATTTTTAAAAGAAAAATCGAAAACTGTGGGTTAAAACGTAATTTAAAAAAATTGCGCTACGTCAGCTGCTCGGTCAGCAGCCCCGGCCAACCAGGACACGCCAGGTGGCCGAGACGCTGACGCAGGAGGCCACGCGAAAGGGAGCCGCGTGCGCGCGATCGAACGGCTAAGATTCGTTCCCCCGCGCATGGACGGTCTAGATAAAAAACGCGCACGGACGGCCCAAATTGCATCGCGCACAGACGACCCAGATTCATTTCCTATTTAATCGCGATCGGACGGTTCAGATTAAATGCGATGGATGGCTCAGATCAAAAGTAGATGGTTATAAATAATCTCATCCGCACCCAAACCCTAACCTTAGCCGCTAGAGCCCCTCGTCGGAGAAGACAGCCTAGTCGCCGGGGAGCCGACTATCGCCACCCGCCGTTGTACCGGAGCAATTTTTGGCCGCCAAATGAGGTAAAAATCTATCCTTTGCTAAGAATTCAATTCTAAACCCACCTATGGTCAAATCAGAGTGAAAGAACCGACCAACTGGCTGAAAAATACCACCGAAGCCCAACGGCGCCGTCGTAGGGTGTCTTGGTTTTTGCCTCCGATGAGGCCCTTCCCGATTCCTGTTCGACGTGATTTTTCCACCTTTGTGATTATCGTTTCCTTCTCTACAGGTTGACCGAAGCAATAACACTCAACCGCAACGTGTGCCAGAGGAGCCACCACACTTGTGAGTCCCACCACCAGTAAGTTTCAGTTTTTTGTATTTTTTCGGCCCACCGAGGGCCTTATGTGTGTTTTATCGCAGGAACCGGTGCAAGTTTGGCTGAATTCAGCTGAAAACAGTCAACCCGAGGCGGATCACAGTCGTCAGAGCACGGCAGAGCCGCCGTGCCGGAATTTCGAAATTGGCCGAGTAGGCCCTGGGTCTAATTTTTGGGTTTTTGTGGGACATGTGTAGGTACCGTAAGCGCGTTTCAGTTCCAAAAAAAAAATTCAGGAAATCCATGGACCGCCCGTAGGCGTAATAACAGTCTAGTTTTCGGCGTCGAATCGAGTAAGGACCCCTCACCCTATTTCCTATCATGGAATTAAAGTTCGAATAAATGATAATATTATATTTTTATAAATTAATAGATATGCATAATTAATTGAGGTTGCTAATTGAGTCCGAAATCGGATATTATTCTCTGTCGATTCCTACTTGATTTAGTTTACAGTTTAAATGCATTATGGTATCTGGTTTATTTATTTTATGGTTTTGAATGCATATATCACTGCTTACTTCACTATTGTTTAGTTTTGGGAATCTAAGATATGCTTACTTTGCTGGATGCACGTTACTTGTATATATATTCATGTTTGAGTTGGTAACGGAGACTAAGGACAAATAGGAATGAGATGTGATTTAATAAATGGATAAAATGACAGCCTCACTAGATATCCTAAGAGATGGTGGACGGACCGGGTTCATAAGGAATCCTACCGTGAACGTTATCTCATACCGGACGGGGTATGGAGACTTGGTCATTTTGTACTCATACCGGACGAGGTATGGGGATAGTCCGCTTCACCCTCATACCGGACGGAGTATTGAGGCATATTGTTTTGGCGCCCATACCAGACGGGGTATGAGGACGGCCCTAAAATTAAGTTTGTTAAAGGGAATAGTTCATGTATAGCGGGGACCTCTATAGATCCCTATGGATACTAGTAAACTGATAAAAGAGGGCAATTGTTGTTTGATGTTCTGAATATAAAAGTATGATATGTGCTATGTTACAGATATATTTATAATGTTATTGTTTCCATAGGTTGTTTTTATAAAATCCCACTACGGTAAGTGGACGATAAATTGTTTTATTTTAAATAAATGATTTCGTTTAAAATTTGTGCTCCATTGGTTGTTTTTGGTTTTCTACTAACATTTGTTTCTGTGATGGTGATATAGTGTGACGTTCTTACTGGGTTAGTGTAGTTCATTCCTTATTTAACCGTTTCAGATCATGAGGACCTGGTTCCCGAGCCCGATCCACAAGAAGACGGCGAATAAATACTAGATATCTTATAGTTTTCTTATTTTTTTTATTTCTCATATTCCCTTTAGAGAACTTATTCTTTAATATTATTTAATACTTTTAAATTATTGTGTAAGGAATATTAACAAACATATTTTATTACGCTTTCGCACTCATATTTTTATATGCATTTCCTTTTAAATTTTCGAGACCGTTACAATGCATGTAGATTTTTTTTTCTTTTATTAAACTTTTAATTTTAAATAATTCTTCTAAAGGGTTATTCCCATATATATATATATATATATATCTCTACCATGAGAAAATCTCTCATGGTAAAAAACTGGTGGTATGGTATGAGCATATAGGGAAAGACTTTCAGCCTGCATCTCATGATATTTGGGGAAAGAAAAGGTAGTTGAGCCTTTGGATATTTTACCAATCTGGTAAATTTTTAAGGAGGAAAAAAAAAATATATATATATATATATTGTTTTAATAAGTATTAATAAACAAAAAAAATTCCAAAAAAAAAATATTAAAACCTTGAATTTTTTTTAAAAGAGAAAAAAAAAAAAAAAAAGAAAGGAAGTAATTAAAAGAGATGATGGCCTGAACTGTGTGGGAGATAGGGCTCCATTGTGTTTGGTGGAACAAAGGGAATCAAATATTATATTCCATTCTTTATAAATATTTAATACATAAGCATATATATATATATATATATGATATGGAGACTTGTATCTAATTAATTAGTGTGTTTTAATTAATTAATGTGTTTTAATTAATTAGTAATTAATTAGTGTTTGTTTAGTACGTGCTTAAACATAAAACCCATCTTCCTTTTCATTTCCTAGGATGACTAAGAAGATTCTAATGTGTTAAATTCATGTTTGCTTAATTTTATCTTCTTCTTAACAGTTACATTATTATATGGTGTTCAATATAAAAGCATATATATACATATATATATAGGGAATAATAAGCTTCAATTAAAATACTTTGACTTTCTAATCCCCATTTGTCTTGCTTAATTAAATCTCTAAACCCATAACACAAAAATTGTAGCAGGAATTTAGGAAATGTCCTTAAATTGAAGGACATGTTCAGCATTTCAAAAAATATGCACGGGATTGGATCGAATCAATACATATATATATATATATATATATATATATCTGTGTATGTGTGTATGCATTAAGTGGGCAACTTAAAATTTGGGGAATCATAGATTTCTAAGAAGTGTCGGCAGAGGAAACTTCCTCTTGGTTTTTCCCATGTGGAATGATTTGATTATCATATATATATATATATATATATATATAGATATACACACACACACATACATACATACATATATATATATATATAGTGTGGCACATTTAAGAGGGTACCAATTATTTGGTGCATATTTATGAGAAGGAAATAGGACCCATGCCCTCCAAGCAAGGGTACCCTAGTCCACTACAAGTCTTATCTATCTCATCACTCTTTCTCTCTCTGTATGTATATATATATATATGTATGTGTATGTGTGTGTGTGTGTCTCTCTCTCTCTCTCTATATATATATATGTGTGTGTGTGTGTGTGTGTTCCTTTTCTGTAAGGTTATAAAGAGTTAGCTCTGCAAAATAACATATTCATGCGCCCTGTTTGGTACTTTTCCGGGTTAATGATTAAAACTCAGGACTTTGGGTTATAAAATTAATAACTTGGGTTTTGGTAGGTTGAATTTATGTGAATGATGAGAAATAAAATATATAAAAATTTTAGTGGGTTTAAAATATTTTTGCAAAATTTTAAAAAATTAAATTAATTCGATTAAATTATTCTAAAAAATGAATATATTTTTTTCCTAATGAAATTTTAAACAGAAGTAAGAAAGTTTAATATATAAAATTGAAATATATATATATATATATGCTTTCCAAATGAAAATTAGCTAAAGAATGTTGTGCACTTAAGGGATTGTATAATTGTATTTAAAATTTTGATTGATTTTTTTGAAATATTTTTAATTTTTTATACAAAAAATATAAGAAAATTGTCGACTCTCTTAACTTGCTTCTGTTTTCTCCCAGATGCTACTAGAATTTTGGGTAATCTTCACACCTCAAACCCAAAATTTTATTTATGGTTCGACTCAATGCGAGAGAGAATTGTAATATATTATTTTTTGGGTGTTATCTTCTTTCTCGTTAAACATAAATAATTTTTTTTTTCTTATATGTTCACCGAAAATTATTTTTTTTTAACAAAGAATTTATTCCTTACAATCTCGTAAAGAGTTATGTCTTTTTACAAAGGGTGTTGTGGACGTTTCCAATTTTATGCAACATGATGGATAGAGTATTTACTCGTTTTGGGCTAAGCTGTGACGTAGCGCATTGAGATACTATATTCAAAACTTTGTTATCTTTTATCTTTCTCGTTAACAATTTAAAATTATATAAAAATAGTAAACTCTAAATTAAAAAAAAAATAAATAATAATGATAATACCAAAATTAATATATTTTATTAATTAATTTATCTTGATTATAAAATAATTTTTCGAATTAGTTTGATGTTCGCAACGACGGCTCCATAAAGTCGGGTTCAAGCCCGAAGCCCATCTAATGACAGGCCCATAACAATAAGGCCCATAACCAAAAATTTGTTGCACTTCTTTTCACCTAAATGTTAAAACCATCATTGGATTAAATGGGCTTCTCTATAAAAATTTACTTTATATTTTTTGATAATTAATAAAATATATCTTCAAATTTATATGGAGGAACTATGTCTCTATATGTTATATGACGTGGGTATACATATACGTGTGTGTGTGTGTATGTGTGTGTATGTATATACTTGTGGAATGAAATGAAAAGGTAAGAGTGGAGTGATTATTGAAAATTAAGAAGAAATAAAATGATGGGAGAATGAGCTACCAACAAAATCCATACAAAATAAACTCTCCCCTGATAATACCATACAAAAATTCAAAGCTGCCCTCAAAATCTCCCAAAGAATCCAACAGAATTTGTATACATATAATATATATATATATATGCGCACATACATAGAAAAATGAAGTCCCATAATCCATCAAATGGCAGCCAATGATAATAATATTATAAAGAACCAAAATGTAACGACACAGAAGAATTAAACCAAAAAAATAACTGATGGAACCCCAGAGAGACGTGTGTCTAGAGAAGCAACCAAACAAGAATCCATCCACCCACCAGACTCTCCGCCATTTTTTGAACTGCCCAAACTTTCTCTGCTCCACTCTGTAAATCATTGTTTGGCAACAAAGAAAATTCTGTTACTTGTTGTGCCCAAAAAAAGCTGCTTAAAACCCCAAATCCCAAACACGGCTTTTGGCATCTAAATTCACAGTCCGATACTATAAAATTTGAAACGGGTTGTTTTTTTCCTAATCCCATTATTAGTCCATGCGTGATGTTATCTAGTCAACTCTAACACGTGGCAGGAATCTATTGGGTTGACTGGTCAGTTTGATTAATTAGTCAACCGAAGCGTGAGCTCACCCGGTCTAACTATAGATAAGCAGATCATGGAGCTTACGATAGATAATGCCGCCTCATTTTTTGAAAAAATGCGCCGGCATTAAAAGTTTTAAACCCTCCTTAAACCCGTGCTCGTTGAACACGAAACAAACAACAGAGGGGAGAGAAAGGAAAATTAGGAAGGAGCGTTACCTGATCAGTCTGTGAGGATGGGCCGGGGGAGATGGACTGGAGAGTTGGCGCGGGAGCCTCCGTCGGGGGAGCCGGCGGCGATTTTGCCGGAGACTTTACCTTCTTCTTGCTGGGAGCAGGAGCCGGGACCTGAGCTGGTGGAGCTGCCAATGGAGCAGGAGGAGGCACAGCTGGAGGTGGAGACGCCGGAGGGGGACTAGCAGGGGGAGGAGAAGCCGGAGGAGGAGATGCCGGAGGTGGTGAAGCAGGAGGTGGTGAAGCCGGAGGAGGAGATGCTGGAGGAGGAGAAGCCGGAGGAGGGGATGCAGGAGGGGGAGATGCAGGAGGAGGAGAAGCAGGAGGTGGAGATGAAGGAGGAGGAGAGGAAACCGGCGGCGGTGTCGCCGGAGGTGGAGAGGTGACCGCCGGTGGTGGACTCGCCGCTGGAGGTGGAGTAAAAGCTGGAGGTGGCGTAGTGGTAGGAGGAGCCGGCGTAGTAGTCGGAGGTGTCCCCGGAGACTGCGCCGCCACGTTGGCTAATACAATCATCAGAAAGAAAACCGAGAAAACCAATTTCCGACCCATCATCCTGAGTTTCAGTTAACGTGCGCACCAGCTCACTGCTTAACGTGCACACTCTGTGAGTGAGTGTAAGTACGTGAAAATCAGATGAAGACGGTGGACAAATAAATAGACGTGCAAAAACTCCGGAAGGATCAAAACGACGACGAAATTCCACGTTTTGGTTTAGAGCGCGGGAGGGCCCACTCCAGGATGCCACCAAAATAATCTGCGGCGTCCAATTGGCCAGAGAGAGCAACCTCCCGTGAGATCTGATGCCACGTGGCAGTACTCGGTTAAATACGATGCGACGTGGCATAATTTTAATTATTTATTTTATGGTATTTAATTACACAAAGCATTTTTTTTTTAATTTTTTTAAAATTAATTTTCTTTCTTTGGCGTTTGGTATCATGGGAAAAAAAGGAGTGCAGGGGGGCCGGGTGGTGGGTTTTGGGTTAGCATGATTAAATATGATGTGTGGGTTGCTTTGGTGCAAAGCTTTTATCAATTTAATATCCAAATATTAATTGTAATTACAATTTAATCTTTAATAATTTCATTTTTTTTTTCGTAAAATCATATAATTATTACTAAAATTTGGAAATTTATTACCCTGATTTCACAAAAAAAAAAAAAATTCATATTTACCCAATTTTTTGAAATCTAGATCTTTATAATCTAATAAATATATATTTATAAACAAAACTTAAAAAATATAACTTAAAATATAATTAACGTCTATTTTATAATCAATTTATTGAACCCAATTGAATAAATTCGAATTTAATTTATGTGCTATAAAATTCACAATAGTGATATGCTAATTTAATATATTTTTTTTTTTCATGATGAACATTTTTAGTTGGTAAGTATATGTTGTGGGACATTGGTGGAGTGCGATGCCGTGATAGGTGGCTTAAAACGAAATCTTTGGTACTACTAGTGATTAGAGCCACCAACCATATTTGCTACTTCCAGAACGTTGTATAAATCAAATGCTGAAGAAACTAACGGATTTTTGAAAGTGAAAGACAAGTTATGATCTTCATAAGGATTGCCAACGAAATGGGTTCGAATCGATTTTACTAAATTTGAGCTCGATTACTTATTATAAAGAGTAAAACTACGAAATGTTATATCGAATTTTAGAAGGTTAAATATGAAACTGTTTTATTTTGTTTTGTTTTTGTAAATTTAAATCAAATTAGATTCGAACTTTTATTTTAATGAAAATATATATTGAATCAGATCAAATTGATTAGATTAAGTGGGTTAAAATATAAAAAATATTATTTATATGTATAAATTGTATTCTAAAATTTATTATTAACACTTTTTATTTAGTATAAAAAATGAAAGTGAACATCAATGGTCAGAATTCCATTAATGTTAGTAAAAAATTCGTACAAATAATTAAATTAAAAATATATAATTTGGTAGGAAGTCTGACTTGTTAATCTTATCATTTGATATAATATAAAATTATGAAGCTCGTAGTTTATATAATTTTAATTAATAATTACAATTGAATATTTCAATCATACCATTAGTAATTATTCAAATTGTTCGCTTGTTGTTTGCTCAAGTGATGAGATAGATGAGTAAGCGTATTTAAAAATGTGAAAATAGTTTTTAACTTATTACTTAAGAAAACACGTGTTTAAAAAAAAAAAAAGTTATACTTTTAAATGACTAACATGTTTCTTTAATAAAAAAAATTTAAATTGTTAATTAAAACTAAAAATAATTATCAAAAATTTATATTTAAATTAATTAATTAAAGTGTAAAAATACCCATTAATATTAATTTGAACACTTGAATAATTATATTTATTAATAGGTGATACATAAACATATTATATAATCATCATATATTAGAAACAAAATGAGAATATATAAATCACATCTCATCTCAAACCCAAAATTTTTAATAAAAAAAGGATATACAAATTATTAAATTAAACGGTAGTTATAATGATATTATTTGACCTAATTTTCTTACTACCAACATTAAAATCTAAATTATTAAATACAATAAAAAAAAACAGATTTTCTTATAAACGAACTATATATTAAAATTATATTATATAGTTAATTAATTTATATAAAAAGATGAATTAAAAATATAATCAATAATTTGGTAGGTCTCCAATTCCAAAAACCACAAAATCGAATGATGAAATGGGTCACGTGTCTCTGTCAAATTGGTTACCATACTTGGCAAAAGTTGATAGCAAGACCTTTGCTTATAAATCAATCTTAATAATCTTATTCCTTTTTCTCTCTCTCTCTCTCTCACCTTTGCTTATAATTCTTTTTAATGACTATTACTTTCTATTTTGTTTGAATTAGAATATTATTTTATTTTTAGTATATTCCAATTATAATATTTATAAATTTTGTTGTAACAACCCCGGAAATATTAAAATGAAATGAGTATTTAAATATATCAAATGTGGAAGCGAGATCAAAATTTCAGTTAACATCCCTTACACGAAAAACTAAAAACGTACTTAAAATATAAAAGATTAAACTAACTAAGAGAGAAACTCGAAAATGAAACTATGATTATGACTACAGAGTCTCTATGCATCCCCTTCGTCGTCCTCCTGCGGAACGGGCTCGGGAACCATGTCTTCCTGATCTGAAATGATTAAATAAGGAGTGAGCTACACTAACCCAGTAAGAACATCACGATATCTCACCGTCACGTAGGTAAAGGTGGATAGAAAAACACAAAAAGACCAATGGAGCATAATTTACAACAAACTCGTTTATTAACATGAAAACCTTTACCATCCACTTATCTCGGTGGAATTTATGAAAACAATATAAGAAAAACAATAACATTATCATAATCATGGAATAATATAAGCTGTAAAACATAACACTTATCACGCCTCTTGTAATTCAATCATTGTACAACATATCTTTTTCTCATTTACCAGCCTATTAGTATCCGTGGGGGTCCATAGGGGTTCCGCTACCAGTTAACCTTTAACATTCATAATCAGTTTCCAGGGTCGTCCCCATACCCCGTCCGGTATGGGCGCCAAAACCATGAACCTCAATACCCCGTCCGGTATGAGGGTGAAACGGGCCGTCCCCATACCCCGTCCGGTATGGGCGCCAAAACCATAAACCTCAATACCCCGTCCGGTATGAGAGTGAAACGGGCCGTCCCCATACCCCGTCCGGTATGGGCGCCAAAACTATAAGATCTCCATACCCCGTCGGGCATGTGAGACCACAACCCCGGTAGGGTTCCCTACGGACCCGGTCCGTCCACCATCTCCCAGGATATCTAGTCAGGCTGACCTCCATAATACAATTATCAGTCTACACAATCTTTCATTTTCCTTTTCCTCAGTCAGCATCATCAATTCACATTTAAACAAGCAAATCGTAATTCATGCCAAACAGACATCATACAGTATCAGTTTTTCAGTCATTCAACCCATAATTAATAAAAACGTAGTATATGCACACAAATCTGTAAAATGAACACATCAAACCTCATTTTGCATTTAAAGCTGTAAACAGGCCAAATAACAGTAAATCACCAATCACACTAGACTCGGGCTCCATTAGCCACCTTAAGCAATTTTACACATTCGTTAATTCAAGAAATACCGTTTTATCATTTTGAACTTTAATACCGTGATAGGAAATAGGGTGAGGGGTCCTTACTTGTTTTCGGGATCCGAATACGATTCACAGTGCGCCTGCAGGCCGTCCCTAATTTTCCCTGAATTTTTCCCGGGGAACTGAAACACACTAACAGTACCTGCACGTGTTCCAAAAAAAAACCCAAATTAGGCCCAGGGCCTCTTTCGGCCCAAATCGCAACTCCAGCACGACGGCTCTGCCGTGCTCCGGCGACGGCGCCGCCGCTGGCGGCGGAGAGTCGCCTCGGGTTGGCTGTTTTCGGCCATTTTCGGCCGAATTCAGCCACACTCGCATCGGTCCTTGTGAGAAAACAACCCTAGGGCCTTCGGGGGGTCAAAAAATCACGGAAAAACGGAGCTTACCGGCGGCGGCGCTCTCGGGTGCAGCGGCTCTCCGGCGAGGTTCGTGTTTTGGTGATTCGGCTCCGGTCAACTTGTAGAGAAAAGAATGGTGATCACGGTGATATAAAAATTGCATCGAACGGAGGCCGGGAAGGGCCTCGTCGGAGGCAAAAACCGAGAGGGGGCGCGGCGGCGCCGCTGGTCTTCGGCCGCGTATTCCGACCGTTTGACAGGGATTTCGGCTTCGATTTGGCCATAGGAGGAATAAGCGTGGAAAAACGAGTCGGGGGTATGAAATTTACCTCGATCGGCGGTCGGAAATTTCCCCGGTGCGGCGGCGGGTGGCGGCGGTCGGCCTCTGGTTCGTCTTCTCCGCGAGCGGCGGGCGGCTAGGGTTTGTGGTCTGGTGTGGGGGTTCTATTTATAACCCCTTGCCTTTTGATCTCAGCCGTTCATTTTGTTTTAATCTGGGCCGTTCGTTTTTGATTGAATCTGGACCGTCCGATCGCGCGATTGATCTGGGCCGTCGGATTTCACCCACGCGGATCGCCAACGTGGCTACCCTTCGGAGTGACGTGGTCTTGCCACGTGGCAGGCCCCGGTTGGCCGGGACTGCTGACCGGGCCTGCTGACGTGGCCTTTTTTTTTTTTTCCTTTCCTCCTCCTTTCCGGGTGCTACATTTGTACTATATAATAAAACTTATACAAGACTTAAAACGATTATAGTATTAAAATTCAAGAATGTCATAAATTCATGAAATATTTATTCATTATTATAGAGTTTTGGAATGCTAAAATATATAGTTTGGGCGAAAAAAAATTTAGATCTCTATGTGATAATATTAAAGCAATTATAGGAATTAATTCAATCGAATTGATAGTTTAATTTATTAGTGCTTTATAAGAAATGTGTTGATTTTTTGTTGAGTCTCGACAAGTTTATTGTATTTATAGATAAAATGAATATCTTATGATAAAATTAAAATATTTATTTTAAACTATGACTCGAATAATTGTTTAGCCGAAACCCAAGACCATAGGGTAAATTTAATTTTTGAGTCCACAATGATAAATGAATAAAGCTTGAACATAGAAACCCATAAATGTTGTAAATCCAAGATGATTAAGATACTTGGGTTGAGGTCCAATCTAACGGTTCAAGCTTAATTCCGGCTCATAAAATTGGGTTTGGGCCGACCGGATGAGAGGGTAGTTTAGTAATTTTGAGAATTCGGCTATTTAACATACTTGGGTTGAGTTGCAATCCAACGGTTCAAGCCCAATTCCGGCCCATAAAATTGGGCCGACCGGGTGAGAGGGTAGTTTAGTAATTTTAGGTGCCAGGGGTTGAGGCGGGCTCCCAAAAATCCAAAAAACATTCCATTATCTCTTTCTATTTTATCAATAAAAAAAGGGAAGGAAAAATCAGAAGGGGATAACAAAACCCTCTCTTCCAGCGACACCAGAGAGTTCTTCAAGAAGCGAAAAAATGGCGGTCTCTTCAGGGATTCTCTCCACCTTTCTCTGCTCTGAACCGGCGCCGTTTTTCTCCAACTCATCTCCTTCCTCACTCCGTCTCTTCCCTTCTCTATCTCTTCCTCCTGCTAACCTACAAATGGCTCGCACGGTCACATACGCCACGGCTTCCAAGCCGGCTACCGGAAAGCGGGAGCCACGTGGCATAATGAAGCCGCGCCGCGTCTCACCTGAAATGCAGGCTCTTGTCGGTGTCCCTGAGATTCCACGAACTCAAGTTCTTAAACTGATTTGGGCCTATATCAAGGAGAACAATCTACAGGTCTGTCTTCCTTCCTCGGATACTTTTTGCTTTTTAAGTAGTTATGGTTCTCGGAAATTTCTGGCGTTTTTAGGGTTTTTGTGGTTTTCTTTCGAGTCTGTGACTGATGAATAGCTGTTTGGACATGATTAAATTCTTGTTGTGATATGAACTATGAAATGCATTTTTCCGATATGACATTTTCTGCTTTCATGCTTGTTCCAAGAACAAATTTGACTTTCTAGAACATTTTCGGTTTTACTAGACCTTTTTTTCCCAGCTTGCTGTTTGACGAACTTATATTTTGTTGGAATCCATGGGAGTTCTGGCAGGCACACACACACACACACACACACACACACACACACACACACTATAAGAGATTGTGTTGCTGTAGATGGAGCTGTTTGATTCTCGTGGACGTTTGGATAAGGATTTTCTTCAATGTGCCATCGGGTTTGGTCTGATGTTTGGATAAGGTTCTGTTGATAAAAATGGTGGATTATGTTATTTCTGCTCTAAAATTCAGTTATACGTTTTGACTATATTTTCTTGGTTATTCTATTAGCTCTTGTGCTTGGATAGCTGTGCATCTTAGCATACTTTGGTTTGCTAAATGTCTGGCTCCATTGTGCTGTCGTTCGGTTATGATGTATTGTTGCAGGTTGTTCTGTTCATGGGATTGTCGAATTCTCTGTCAATCACTCTTCTTTTGCCTTCCTATAGGGCTTGGATTTTTAGGAAGAGAGACACAGGGAATTTGTGTGTGTGTGTGTGTGG